AGCCAGGCCAAGCCCAGGACCACGGGGAAATTCAGGCCTGAGGCAATGTAAAACTGGATGGCCTCCTCGTGATCCCCAATGACCAGGCGCAAGGGCTGCGCGGCGGCCTTGACAGGCCCAGACAGAAGCACCCGGCCGTCAATGGTCTCGACCAGCATCGGTGGGTCCAGCGGACACAGAGGGATGGCATACTTGGTCGCAAACACCTCACCTATAATCTCTGTTGGGAGGGGCCAATCAAAAACCACATGTGCTTAATCATCTTCTGTGAGTCTGCCTACGGAGTTGCTGCTTCCGTTTCTCAGCCCTTCTGAATCTAGCATCAGGGACAAACTGCCTTTGATCCTCCACACTGATCCATGCCTCAGGCGCCTCCTGGTGGCCAACCAGCCTCTCTGGTCCCTGCTATAAGGTTCCTCGCTATCTGAGTCCTTCAGCAGCTCAACCGGATCCTGCTGGGCCACAACAGGCATGTGGGCCACATGACCACAGAAGTTTCTTCGGACAATGCTGGCTCCCTCGGCTAAGAAGCCAAGATAAGTATCGTTCCCTAGAGTCAGACATGACTGGACAGGGAAACCTTTACCTTTAGTTTGACTTCAAACCTGTGAGGAAATGTCGACTGAATCTCTCATCTCAAACAGCCTCCAGGTACAGTATAGGAAAGGTTACTAGTCCCCCCAGAGTTTACATCCTGCTATTTATATGCCAGCCATATCCCTCTCAATGCAAAAGGCTGGGTTCTAGGTGATTCATCCTAGACTTGGCTTCAAGGAGTGCATGTCTTCACCCAAATATTCAGAAAGACGGTGAGAAAAGTTTGTTTTTGAATATATGGGAGGATTGTGCAACGCCTGGAAGAAACACTGAGTTGGAGAAAGGAAACCACTGCTGATACATGGCACATCCCAAAATCTACACAAGTTCTTCTTGCTTTCTAAGCATCCTGGAAGATCAGCACAGCTTAGGAAAAGCCTCATCCCTCTGCCTTCCAAAGAGAAGAACAGGAAAGTCTGCTATTATAGAAACATTTAGGAAATGGGCAAAGGTCCAGCCATTTCTTTTTTAATACATCCAAAATCAGAGCAGCATGACGGGAAATCCCCACTCCTTGAGGTTTGGGAACAGCGAGAGCTAAATGTTCTCCATCATCGAATTAGGCTCTGACATCTCTTCCCCAGGAAGCCATGAATTTGACTCATTAGGGCTCAGACATGACCGCCAGTATGTGAGAAGATGGGACATAGCCTCCCTAACATTATAGTATAGATCAGACCAGAGGCAGATGACCTGCAGCACTCCACAGGGCTCAACTACAATTTCCATTAACGCTTGGGGCAATATTGTAGGAATTTACATGTAATGATATCTGGGGAAGTTCAGGAATAGGTTGGACAGCCTCAGGTGACTTACGCCTGGATTTAAAAAAAAAACAAGCAGAAGAATGTCGAACAATGAATAAGCATTTCCTTGAGCCAGTTGCTTGTTCTCAGAGAGAGTCCTGGATATAAGTGTCCCAGGATAATGTTGCAGGATCCAATCTGGGTGTCGGTCACTGTGATCAGAGGTTGTGTCTTCTGAGCTTTTGGACTCATGCTGGAACCCATACTCAGAGAAAATTCACCCCACAGAGAACAATCTCAGAGCACACTGAGAAGTTCCCTAAGGATAAACTCAGTGGTGGGTTACAACCAGTATGCCCCAGTACGAGGGTACCGGTGCCTGCCAGGAGCACCAGGTACCGTTCCGGTAGAGTGCTCCAGAGGGCCCGTCTGCCTGTCCACGCTCCTTACCTGTATTTGAGCTGTTCGGGGCTTCCATGCACACGGACAGAGTGTACGGTGCCTGCGCAACACTCCGCTGAGCAGCTGGAGCGTCACAGAGGCGTCACGGAGGATGGCGGGCGGTAAGTATGCCTGTGCGCACTGTGAGTGTTCATGTAATGGATGCTTGGCCCCATTGCAAGGCACTAGTTGCAATGGGATCCAGAACCCACCACTGGATGAGCTCCAGCATGAGTCCAAAAGTTCAGAAGATAAAATCTCTGATCCCAGTGACCGGCCAGATCCTGCAGTCCTTGATAGGCTTCCTAAATCCCACTGTGTCCTGTTTATTCCAAAGGTAACAGCAAAGTGCTTGGTCTTTCCCCATTTTCCAACCTAACAACAGTTGGCGGACTGTTTCATACCTGATAGAGACAATGGCAAACGCTCCGCAGCTGCGGTGGGAACTCGGTGGAAGAGTTGATGATGGCATGGAAGAACTTCTCGGTCATCTGAAGGAGGATCCGCTGGTTACTCTCGAGGCTTTCACTGGATTCCAACCTGTAAGACAAGCCTCTCCTAAGCTCTCTGGCTTCCGTTTTAAAAAATGGGTCAGGTGTGGGGCTTCTGCAAGATCCACACTGCAACTATGGTTCTCTCCTGCTTAGTGCTACCAACAGAGAAGGGAGGCAGACTTCCCCAGCTCGGAAATTTCAAAAGCGAATTAGAGTAGAAATCAACAACAGAATTGCCAGGCTGCTGAATTGTCTGGGAGTTGCCCTTCCAACACAGTGGATAGTAACTCTCTCCATCAGTGATGGTGAACGTTTTAAGCTTGACGTGTGATCTGACCTAGGCTTCCCAAGAGCAGTACGCAAACTCCTTGTCCCAGCAAAAAACCCTTTTATTAATTTAGTGAGAATTTTGCTCATTCACAGCCAGAAAAGTCTTTCATGGGAGGATTTACACTCACAGACCTTATCTGGCTGGGAGAGCTGCCAGGCAGATATCTGCAAAACTTGGCAAGGAGTCTTGGGAGATTCACGAACCAATTAAGGGAACTAATTGTCTCCTGCAAACTCCCCTTTCGCTCCTCTTTTATTTCTTCTGGGAGGGGCCATTCATCGTCCACCTGTGGCCTTACTCCCAAGTCAACCCCCGTTCTTTAGCTGTTCCCTTTGTCTGGCAACTCTGTGCATGCCTACACTGGAAACAAACTCCAGCTGTTCGTCTGCCTCATTGATGCCTGACTGTGAAGGCAGCTGATATCTGACATATGGCTCTGGTCCCCCCTCTGCCTTCGACACAGAGCCCTCATCAGAGCCTTTCCCAGACTCCAGAACTGGCCTATGTTCCTCCCCAACCTCCTCACTGTTTGAATCTTCTGCAGGCCACAACATGTCAAAAGTCCAGAAAATGCCTCCCTTGACTCTGCTGGTTTGTCAGACAGACACAGATATACACACCCTGGGCAAACAAGACGTCGTCAGACCCTCTGAAAGCTCTCCTCCCAGAAGGTCCCTGGAGCCTCCAAAAATCATGTAAAAATGCTCACATGACTTTTGGAGGCTCTAGGGGACCCCTAAGGACAAGGTGCCTTTGCAGGATTTCCAGCGGGTCCAGAGGCCCCAGGTGTCAAAAGGTCACCATCACCAGACTACATACAAGATTCCAACTGGATCATCGGTTATCAGACGATTGAGTCTTCCCCATTAGCTGCTCCTGCAAAAATTTCCCCCAGTAAATGGAAAAGGTTGGCTGTTGAACTTTATTACTATCTGCCTATGTCCAGGAGGGAAAAAAAGCACTGGGTTGCAAATATTAAAACTGACTCCTAATCATATTGTATATATATAATGATATGTCTGCATTTTTATTTTTTTACTTATCAAATTTGGGTTTCACCCATCTCATTTTCAGCTATAAAACTGATCTGAGAACCAGTCTTGGATGAAAAACAGAATATGCATGTAAGAAAAAAAAGGAGTTTTCTTTTAGCAAGAGTAATTTCATTTCAATCTCTCATAGCCTGCCACACTCCAAAATATATGTATCTAAAGTAGGTAGCGAAAAATTCAACATGGCACTAAAAGAATGAGAGCATTTCCCACTGCTCCAAGAAAGACCCTGTTTTTTTCTCCGTTTCTACCTAATCCCTCATATACAGGAGAGGCAGGCTCCAGGTATTGATTAGAGAATGTAATATAGATCAGCCTTTCTCAAATTTGGCGCCTTTTAAGATGTGTGGACTTCAACTCCCAGAATTCCCCAGCTAGAGTTCTGACAGCAGAAGTCCACACATCTCAAAGTTGCCAAGGTTGAAAAACACTGATCCAGACCAGTGCTTCTCAATCTTGGATGACTTTAAGATGTTATGGACTTTAACTCCTAGAATACGCTGGGTCTGGTATTCTGGGAGTTGAAGTCCACTCATCTTAAAAGTTGTTAAGGTTGAGAAACGCTGTGATACACAGAATGCTCTTCTCCTACCTCTTATTTTTCCCCACAAAAATCCTCCCATTCAATCCACGTTGGCCTTTTAGAAAACACTTAACACCTGGCTGTTTTGCTGGGCATGGTTTAAAAAAAATGGTGAGAAAAAATAGTCTTGAAAGACAGCTTCTGTCATGCCTCTTTTCGACAAAGATCCAGAGATGAGACCCTTATTATTCAAACTTCAAAAGCAGGTAGAAAAACAAAAAGAGGAGGAAAAATAAGAAAGAATACAAACTCCGCCCTCTTTCTCCTCTCGCCCACCCGCCCCCTTCTCCCCCATCACTATTCCAAAATCAAACCTTGTAGGGTCGACTTCGAAGCTCACAGGCTGCCATTCTGGAGATGTGATTACAGTTCTTAATAAAGGCTCCAAAAGCTTCTGTAGATAGGTTGCACCATACACCTGCATGAGAGAGTTCAAAATGGTTTCAGCCGAGAAAAAAAAAGGTGGGGGGGGGGAATTCTGCCTACCAGGTATTCATCTGGCTAGTCCTTAGCCTGGTCAGCTTCAGCACATTAGTTCGCTTGCTGGTTTTGAGGCTGGGGATGGTGGGGGCTGTGCATCTAAAGCACAGCTGATCCTCGGAGGGAGCTCCAGTGACTAAAGCAGGCAAAGTGGGGAAGGGGTAAGAGAAGGCAGCAGCTGTTCCGGGTAGCCATTTTGGGCACCGCGCGTCGAGCATTTGGAGGCTGAAAACGCAACACGCCGAGCCTCAGTGGCAATCTCTGCAATCAGGAAGAGGACTTGCAGAGGCCGAAGGGTAGGGCCTAGTGGGTGGGCGGAGATACATTCAAAGTATAAGACGCACCCAAATTTTCAGCCTCTTTTAGGGGGGAACATCTTTTACTCTGAAAAATACAGTATATATCCTTGTTCACACCTTTAGCTTCTTACTTTATGACCATTTTGTTTCTTCTTATGCTTTTGTAGGTAACATCTGCAACGCCTACTCTGGGGGGTCATAGACCTCTTTTCCCTATGCAAGTTTTCAGTAACGTTTTCCTACTGGCACAGAAGGAAAAGAAGCTGATTGGGAGATCTAGCAAGCAGAGCCGAGAACAAAGCAATAGCAATAGCAATAGCAGTAGACTTATATACCGCTTCATAGGGCTTTCAGCCCTCTCTAAGCGGTTTACAGAGAGTCAGCATATTGCCCCCAACAATCTGGGTCCTCATTTTACCCACCTCGGAAGGATGGAAGGCTGAGTCAACCCTGAGCCGGTGAGATTTGAACCGCTGAACTGCTGATCTAGCAGTAGCCTGCAGTGCTGCATTTAACCACTGCGCCACCTCGGCTCTTAGAGGAAGGGGATATCCCCGAAACACAACGTCTACGGGCAATCCAAAATCTGAAACTGCTGCAGCACAAAATATTGACAGCTGCCATTTAGACATTAAAAAAGACAGCAGGCCCCCCTAAATTAGATTCTTAAAAAGCCTGCCTGCATCCTTAATAACTGCCGTGTTGGGAGTTCTGCGTATTAGTGTAAAATCAGCGTATTGAATCATTTTACTGTGATTTTATTCAGACAACAGTTACAAACTTCAAACCTGCATCTTAAGAGGGAAGGCTAAGTTTTTCCAAGCCCATCAGGTTTGGTGGGTCTTAACCTTTTGGCCCCCAAATCTCTCTAAATGACAACCAGATTCAAAAGTCAAATGTACCTTAAAGCAGAAAGTCATTATTTTGCTAGCCAGGCTGTTTCCCCTGAAGAGCGTCTGCATGGAATCGGCCAGCTCCACTTCTTTAGAAAACATGTTCCAGAGCAGCTGGTAAAGCAAGTGCCTCGAGTCAAAAAGGGTGACAAGAACACGGGCTAGTTCATCCTTCAGGGGGGGGAAACAGAAAGAGTTTTAAATTAGTTTTTGTCCTTGATTCGTTGAATAAGCCACAGTTGGTTGGGTTGGTGCAGCATTCAAAACTACAAGCCAATACAGTTAACAAGATTGGACTTAAAATTACAATATACAGGTAGTCCTTGTTTGCCTTTTGGTACTGTCCGAGAGAGGGGGGGGGGGGTAGACGAATCAAAATTTGGAATTAAAATTGCCCGGAGAAATATCAACCACCTCAGATATGCAGATGATACCACTCTAATGACAGAAAGTGAAGAGGAACTAAAGCGCCTCTTGATGCAGGTGAAGAAGGAACTCAACATTAAGAAAACTAAGATCATGGCATCAGGCCCTCTCAATTCCTAGCAAATAGATGGGGAAGAAATGGTGGTAATGACCGATTTTATTTTCCTGGGCTCCAAGGTCACCGCAGATGGGGACTGCAGCCAAGAAATTAAAAGACGCTTGCTCCTGGGGAGGAAAGCTATGGCAAATCTAGACAGCATACTAAAAAGCAGAGACATCACCCTGCCAACAAAAGGGCGTATAGTCAAGGCTCTGGTTTTCCCAGGTGCAATGGATGGCTGTGAAAGTTGGACCATATGAAAGGCTGAGCACCAAAGAATGGAGGCTTTTGAACTCTGGTGCTGGGGAAGACTCCTGCAAGTCCCTTGGACTGCAAGGCCATCCAACCGGTCAGTCCTAGAGGAGATCATCCCTGTGTTTGTTTTGAAAATTAAAAAAAACCCTTTTTTTAAAAAAAAAGAAGCAGCAACCGACGGTGTGATTCATCTTACCCACTGAGAACAAGGCACCACGTTAGCCAAGGCCATAGCAATGGGCAATTCTCCTTGGTCACCCATCATGGTGACCAACTCCACCAATCTCTCAAACCGATCCGCCAGCACAGTTTCCGCCAGGGTGTCGAACTCAGTGCCCTGTTGCAGAATTTTGGTGAGGACCTCCATGAATGTAGCTCTCGTCTGGAGATCCTTGTGATATCCTAACCCTACCAACCAACCAACAACAGAAGATAAGAGTTTGGGTGCAGTTTGGGCATTTCCAAAGTCCACAAAGTAAAGGAGAAACAGATCCGTTTTTACCTATAGAGTGCATAAGGCCGCTATCCACGTTTGCGTTGAGCAAGTTTGACATAGCCAGAACGGTGCAGTGCCGCAAGGAAGCCAGCCTTCGAGACATCCCACGTTTCCGCCCGCCTGTTTGTGCACTCTCATCTTCCACTTCACTGCAGTCATTAAGGAGGTTCATAAAGAGGGTGAAGTACCTAAATGTATATTTAAAAAAAAAGGTTTGCATCGCTCCGGGAAGATCATCTTATAATCAATAAAAGTGGTCACCTCAAAACATTTGATCTGCAAAATAGATGCCTTTCTGCATGACATATTCAGTGTTCAGACACGCACCCCCAAGTTCATTTGCAGGATATCTACTCTTTAAGATAAAGGTTCCCCTCGCATGTGTGTGCTAGTCGTTCCCAACTCTAGGGGGACAGTGCTCATCTCCGTTTCAAAGCCGAAGAGCCAGCGCTGTCCAAAGACATCTCTGTGGTCAGGTGGTCGGCATGACTCAATGCCGAAGGCGCACAGAACGCTGTTACCTTCCCATCAAAGTGGTCCCTGTTTTTCTACTTGCATTTTTTATGTGCTTTCGAACTCCAAGGTTGGCAGAAGCTGCAACAAGTAACAGGAGCTCACTCCGTTACGCGGTGCTAGGGACTCAAACTGCTGAACTGCTGACCTTTCTGATCGACAAGCTCAGCATCTTAACAACTGAGCCACCGTGTCCCCACGGTGATAATTTACATGGTGTAAATCTACTCTTACAGTGGATATAAAAAGCCTAGCTTTTTATTCTTATTTTTCTTCTTCTTCGGTTCTTCTTGGATGAGAAGTGAAATGTTTTCAAAGAAAACACCAAGGAAGCCCAGGTGCCTTCTGGAAAAGGGACCTTTGGGATAACCATGACCTGATTGAGAAGCTCCACAGTCATTTCAGTTTGTTTTTCAACTGAATTGCGGAGGTGGAAAAAATTCTGGAGTGATGTATCTTGGTCTAATCTTTTTACATCTCAAAAACCTGGCATTTTAACAGGGGCGTGGAGTCCATACAGCCACTGTATGCATTCATGCCTCGGCAATGGTTATTGACCAAGTAGAACAGAAGTTTAGCTATTTCAATCTGTGAAGTGCTGAAAATAGGCCTTTACTTGAGAAATAACTGGGATTTAGCTTCCATCAATTCAACTCCATCTCCTTCTTCTGGTTGAAGTGGAAGCCCGGCCAGAAGAGAGACAACAGCTTCCATGCTTGCCTGGTCCAAGTCTCTAGACAATAAAACAATGAATGAAATGAAATCGATGAAAAGTGCATTTTTCACATACCATATTTTTTGGATTATGACGCACTTTTCCCCCCAAAAAGAGGGTGAAAATCTGAGTGCATCTTATACACTGAATACAGCATTTTTGGCCTCCCAAAACCCTGCCCACTTCACAAAAATGGGCGTGCAGAGGGTTTGGGAGGCCTGCAAAGTGCTCCGGGGGCTGGAGAGGATCAAAACGAGCAAAAAATGGGCAGTTTTTTTGCTTGCTTTTGTCTCCCCCTCCCCCAAGCCCCCCCGAGCACTCTACAAGCCTCCTAAAGGCTATGCATGCCCCCTTTTGGGGGGGGGGGGGAACGGGTTTTTTCCTCATGTTTGCCACCTCCCCCAGCCCCTAGGAGCACTTTGCAGGCCTCTCAAACTCTCCCCATGCTACGTTTTTCACAAAAAAATGAGGCGTACAGAGGGTTTAGGAGGACTGCAGAGTGCAAAAACTTTTTTAAAAAATGTACCTCTTCAAAATTTTGGTGCATCTTATATTCCGGTGCATCTTATACTCCGAAAAATACGGTCATTTTCACATGGAAAGCATGGGATCCTCTCAGTTTGAGACAAGCAATCTTAAGACTCTTGGTTGCTTTGAACTCCAAAGCAACCAAGAGTCTTAGAATTGCTTGTCTCAAGCTGAGAGGGAGGGGCCTGGTTAAAGTCACATGCAGACCTTCCATAGCTGAGGCTAAACTTGAACTTGAGTTTCTACCCAACTTTTGGAACGAGAGGAAGGAACTGACCTAAAGTTACCATGGATTCCATGTCTAAGAGAGAACTAGAACCTGGATCTTCCCAGGCCCAAAACATGAACCTTATGTCATACTGATTCTTGAGAGAGAAGGATGGCCGGAAGCACCACCACACGTCTCACCAGGAAGATCTTGTAGATGAGGAGGACTAGAACCAGGACTTCCCCATTTCTACTCCTACACTTTTAGCAGTATATCAGACTGTCTCTCGGTCTGAGAATGGCTGCCCCAAAATGACTCATGGAACTTCTGGGGCTGAAGGTGTATGTCAGGCTTGGAAGCCATCTTCGCCTTTGGGCCTCAAGCCTGCCACATATTCAAGCATGTTCTACTGTGGGGAACTGGGAGAGGGGATTGTATAGAGCACAGGAAATAGGTAGCCAAAATAACATCCCTTCTCAGAAACTCAGTCTTGTCCCTGCACCTGGACTGACATGGATGGGAGGAATCTTCTTTTGGGACAATGATTGATTGGACCATGTGATGAACCTGGGAGTGTTTGGGCAGAGTCTTGAACTTTCAACTGGGTGAGGAAAACCTAGAAGCTTTCAGGTTTGGGTTTTCCCAGATGTGCCAACATGGCTCTTTTAATAAATTGGAACTTTGAGGAATCTGTAGCTTCGGATTCTTTTTTGATTGAGGATGCTACCTGGAACCCTGACAGTGGACTAGAATCAGAGTCCTTCACTTTTCGTCCAAATGCACCAAACTGGCTCTTGTCAACATAAACACAATTAACACAATTTGAGTCCTTGGGAGAAGGGCAGCATATAAATCCAATAAACCTAAACCTAAACTCAATGTGCACTTGCTATAATTTCTTTTCTATTCTGTCCACAAGCGTTCATCCATCCATTCATCCATCCATTCATCCATTCTACCTCAAGACTGAACTCCATCTGTTATTAATCAACCGCCCTATACATTATTTTTAACAACCTGCTGCATAGATAGCGTAGGTGACACAGCTAATTTTACCTTGTCAGACATTTCACATCCTCATCTGTAGCCTGGTTGGATGTTCCCATAACCCAGTCGGTCAAATATTCCACCATCTTGTTCCTGGAGTTCAGAATTACAGAGCAAAATGTATGGAAACAACATCTGACAAAATCCAAATTAAAGAGGCTACGTGGAACATTTTTCAAATGCTAAATAAAATACTACCTTGGAAATCTTACATTGATCCCTCCCTCGCCACAGAATCAATACAATTGCACCATTTTCTCTTATAGCAACCATACTGATTTTCTGCCACTAGCTAAATACGTTATTAGTAGCTATCACATCATAAAACGGTCAGGCAGCATTAGCTAACCAACTTTGGCTAACATGGAAAAGCTGAGGTGGTTTGCGACTCGCTAGTACATAGACGGGAGCCACTCAAAAACCTTGCAGATCTTGTAGGTGAGTATGGGATACTGAAGTAAAAAGTCTGTGGAAATATTAGAAGTTGAGTTTAATCTGAAGGAGACTTTATTTTTATTTATTAAAATGTGTTTTTTAACTGTTACTTGTGGGACTTATGGTCCTCTTTGTCTTAACTTCCAAGAACGCTTGTTGTTTTCACTTTCTTCTCTCTACTAAATTTATTTATTGTCGGTCCACTAGTTGGCATGCCCTCAACCGTCACTATTCCAAAATCAAACCTTGTAGGCTCCACTTCAATGCTAACAGGCTGCCATTCTGGAGATGCAATTATAGTTCTTAATAAAGGCTCCAAAAGCTTCCATCAAACCTCTCACCTGAATTTCATTTCTTGGCAGAAGGACAGATCATCTCGCCTCTCCATCATTACCTTCACAAGTTGGCAGAGTTTGGTTTTGATCTGAATTGCATGCACCAGATTCCCGAGGACACGCACGTACCTGTGAGATGATAGAAGGCAGTGATGGCTAATCTTTTTGTCCTTGCGTGCCAAAAGCGTGCCCATACCCATAATGCAATGTGCGTGCGACACACCCACCCTGCGCCCTGCTTTGGGCCTAGCAGGCCTCCCGGCAGCCTCCTCAGACCAAAAATGGGGTGCAGGGAGAGCGTGCAATCCCAGCCCCCCCCCATGCATGTGCATGTGCCTCCCGCGTGCACGGCAGAGACCCGAAAATCAGCTGGCCAGCGGGAGGCATGCGCACATGCGCGGAGGAACTGAGCTGGGCAACAGCTCACATGCCCACAGAGAGGGCTCCACATGCCACCTTTGGCACGCGTGACATAGGTTCGCCATCACGGATATAAGGCCTGTCAATTATGAAGCTTCCAAAAACGGCCAACATCACTCTGAGCATCTTCTCCAAAGCCATCACAGGCCAAGAATGAGGATTGGATTTTTCCTAATAAATCAGTATTCCCATGCTGGTACCTGGATTGGGCTACACTATTGCAGTGGAATCTGAGGCTGGGTTACAGGAAGGTGGGGGCATTTCCCCCCCCAAAAAACGTAAAAGACAAGTCAGCTTTGAGTTCCTGATATGCAGAAAGAAGTTGAGAAGGGATCCTCCCTAAACCTTTCATAGGCTTTATCTGATAAATTATGCAGATTGTGCTGTAATCTGCTTCCTGTCTATGGGCGGACAGCAATAAAGAAACACTCTGAGCAATTCATGGTGTCATTCTTGGTTCCTTGTGCCTGATAGCTATCTGGAGATTAAGGTAAAGGTAAAGGTTCCCCTCGCACATATGTGCTAGTTGTTCCTGACTCTAGGGGGCAGTGCTCATCTCCTTTTCAAAGCCAAAGAGCCAGCGCTGTACAAAGACATCTACATGGTCATGTGGCCGGCATGACTAAATGCCGAAGGCTCATGGAACGCTGTTATCTTCTCACCAAAGTAGTGCCTATTTTTCTACTTGCATTTTTTACATTCTTTCGAACAGATAGGTGGCAGAAGCTGGGACAAGTAATGGGAGCTCACTCCGTTACACGGTGCTAGGGATTCTAACTGCCGACCTTTCTGATCAACAAGCTCAGCATCTTAGCCACTGAGCCACCATGTCCCTGGAGATTATGAAATTCAACCTATCCACAGGAGATCCAGTTTCAATGCATGGATAGATTTTATCTGTTGAAGTAAGCCATCATAACCATGACTGAAAATATATGAATGGGACAGCACCTTAAAAAAAAAGAAACCACTTTCAATGGCTCCTCTTATCCAAGAAATAACAATGGTATCTTCGGAGATGGTTCAGTTATGATAGCCTGCGTGTTAACTTTTAAAAAAAGAAATGGTTGCATATTTGAAAGGATTGCTGCCAAAATTTCCAGATGTTTTTAGGATTTTAATTTTTAGGAGTCTCCTTTCCTCTCACTTGTTCCTTTTTTTACTGCAAAGCCTTTGAGAGATTTTTACAAATAGAAATCACACGCGAATAAAGATACAAAAAGGGAAGTAAGATGATAAAAAATAAAACATAAATTAAAACCTTATAAAAAACATTTAAGGGCTTTTTTTTGGTTATGGTTATGATTTTTCAAACACGTAAATTAAGCACAGAAAAGATCTTTGTTTTGTTTCTCAATCTGGAGGGGCTCCACAAAACAGATTTAGGGAAAATACCTGTAGTCTCTTGGTTGTTAAGTTATCTATCCTTTCTCTTAGATAGGTTGCCTGTCCTTTCTCTAGGATCTCCTGAATCTGAATCAGCGGCTGAAGGGCATAAGTCAACCAGCCGTGAATCTTACAAACTGGTAGGAGATCAACCCACTCAAGCAGACCAAGGAGATAAGGACCAGGAGAACAAGAACCACGGTGGCTCAGTGGTTAGAGTGCAGTACTGCAGGCTACTTCAGCTGACTGCTAGTTCGGCAGTTCAAACCTCACTGGCTCAAGGTTGACTCATCCTTCCATCCTTCCGAGGTGGGTAAAATGGGGACCCAGATTGTTGGGGGCAATAGGCTGACTCTGTAAACTGCTTAGAGGGGGCTGTAAAGCACTGTGAAGTGGGATCTAAGTCTAAGTGCTATTGCTATGAGATCAGATTCTGGACGGGATGCTAGCTCCAAGATACAGGGCAACTTTGAAGGACAGAATGAAGGATCCTTTATTCAGGAAGCAATGAGAATGCCTCTGACTCATGCCCACAGCTGGGCCTTCTTAGGAGCAGCTACCAGCATGTTACTCTCTGTTACAACAGTGTTCTAGGGCAGTGGCCCCCAACCTTTTGGGCACCAGGGACTGGATCCATGGAGACAGGTTTTTCTGTGGACGAGAGGGACTGTGGTTTCGTCTGCTGCCTGCATCCTATCGATGGGACTTCGCTTATTCGCACAGCCCGATTTCTGCCATGCCAGTGCTGGTCCACAGAGCAGGGATTGGGGATCCCTGTTCTAGAGGACCAGTTGGTGGAACTCCCTGTTGTTTGAATCCTACACTGACAGACTAGTCTTATTTCTCTACTGCTTCCTCATTCACCTTCCGAGATTCACATGATGTCAGCTACTTACCTTCTAGTTCTTCCAAGGTGTCTCTTTTGGCTATGACTTTGGATGGACTCTTCAGGCTCTGAATGCCTGAACTCTCAGCTTCAATCTCCATTGGCACTACCAGCATTGTGCCTAGGGCACAAGGCAAGATCTATGGTATCAGGAGCCATGGTGGTACAGTGGTTAAAAATGCAGTATTGCAGGCTAACTCTGTCCACAGATAGGAGTTCGATCCTGACCGGTTCAGGGTTGACTCAGCCTTCTGTTCTTCCAAGGTCAGTAAAATGAGGACTCAAAATGTTGGGGAAAATGCAATGACTTTTAAACCACTCAGAGTGTCAGGTCACATATATCACTATTGGGATGCTGCTGCCATTCTGGTGGGGAAAGGGCCTGGACGCATTCCTCAGTTTATGACCTTCTTTCTGGTACCTGTCTATCCTGTGCTTTGATTTACCTTCCTGGGTATATAAGGGGGGAGGGCCATCTGTTTTGTCAGCTCCTGAGCCTCCAGCAAGCGATGTCTAAGAACAACCTCTTATCACCTTCTCAGCCTGCGATTCTCAAACCATTCTTCGCACCTGGGGATTGGCTTATTCAATGTCGGACTGAGGGGAGAGGGTCTCTAAATGTTTTAATCTAATGGGATTGGTCGGGAATCCTCAGATCCTGCTTTCTTTGTCTTGCTATCACTTTCCTTCCAATAAAGGTTTTAAAATGCTAAGTGCTTCAAGAGTTCTACTTTCTTAAGCTGAAAGGAGAGGCAAGTCCTTTACAGCACAGAGAGTGCTGTAAAACACTATATATAGCGGCATATAAGTCTGCTGTTGCTATTTTGCCTTCCTGGTATTTTTCCTGGAACTTGGGTGCAACTGCTCAGCCAAGCACTCTACTTGCCCATTTGTTATCTAAATAACAGTCCCATCATTCAACCAAATGAAGCTTGCTTCTGTGTGATTGTTGGGTCTACAACCGGACACCCTCGCTCTGCTACAAACACACAGGCTACAGGGAGAACCAGAGGAGTGAACTGACTTGCCTAACTAGATTCAGCATCATGGTCTCAATCCTGGCTTGCCCAAGGTGTTCCGAGCTGCCTTCAGTGTGGTTATCAAGCAGGTTCTTCATGATCGCAATAGTCTGCTCCACAAACTGCGTATTGGTATCATTTAACAAGACCTGCACAGGAGCGAAACATGCTGTTGGTTATACACTTCCACCATGTTTCCTTTGAAATTCTTTTAATTTTCTGCTTTGTGGGTTAGCAACGCTTTCGGACCCTTGATAAATTTCTGATTAGCCCACCTATGCTGTCAAAACCCATTTGAGAACACAGATATTTTGCACGATTTGGGCATCCCATAAAATCTCAATGGCTAACATATGCTAACTATAATATGTACTTTAACTTCAGCTATAACTTTTTTTTTAAAAAAAATAGTATTTCGATGAGCAATGACATCATCTAAACATGATAAAGGCATGGTGTTTACATTTCTTTGGATGGAAAAAAAGACAAAGTGATTGATGTCTATGGAAATTCTCGATCATCCACGGTTGTCGCAAAGGTGCTTTTTCCAAAGGCAACTGAATTTTGTTTTTCCTTGAGGAAAAGTGAAGCTTCTTGGATTAGAAACAAAACGTCTTTTAGGAAAAGCAAAGTCCAGATGCCTTTGGAAAAAGCACTGTTGGGACAAAATGATTCATAGCATCTAAATGAAGGAGGTTTATCTAGATATTAAGGATGGAAAACCAGCTAGTACTTCAGGCCAAGTTCTGTTGAGGACAAACTATTCCCCAAAATTAATTTCCTATGTAGAAAGCTCCAGAATCAGTCAACTAACCAATCAACCAATGAATGAATCAGGTTGTCCGTCAGATAAACAAACTGATTCCAAGAGCAAAAGGTGGCTTATATGAACACCCAGTCAGTTATCATGACTGAAGTTATCATGACTCTGAGTTATTGTTGTGGCCCGCCAGTGAGGAGATTGGGGAGTAACGTGGGTCAATCCTGGGGGCTGGGGAAAGCTCAGATCAGGGTTTTATGTCAGAGGCAGAGAGGGAACTAGACAGCAGTGAGGCAGAGGAATAGCTAGAACCTGTTCACAGTGTGCGCATGCGTAGAGCTGCCAGAAGACAAGAACAACTAAAAAAGCAGGGTCAACTTGGGAGTAAAGCCACACCTTGGAGGCGATTGGCCTCTCCCATAGGAAACAAAAGAGGAGTGAACGGGGAGTGGGGCTTTTGCAGGAAACAATTCATTCCTCCGGTCGTTTCAAGAGTGAAAATTTCTGTTTGTGACTATAAGAGACTCTGTGCCAAGTGTTGCCTTGCCCTGTGTTTGGAAACTAGTTATCTGGACGCTCTCCAAGCGAGATAAGGTTCGTGGTGATAAATATTCCTCTGAAAGACTGTTTGCCAAACCTTGCTGATTGTGAATGAAAGGAATTCAGAGTCGTGTGAATAAAAGAGGTTTTGCCAGGATCAAGACTCTGCTTCATGCTTTTTAAGGAAGCCTAGGTCAGAACAGTTATTTTGTTTTTAAGCACTGTCCTTATGCCAATAGTCTGTCTTCTAAATACAGGAGTCTGGTAGAAAGGAGTAATCTCAATTTACAACCACAATTTGATCCCAAAATCCCATTCCTAAGCAAAGCAGTTGCTAATTTGAGTTTTGGCCCATTTTACAACCTCCCTTGCCATGGCTGCTAAGTGAATTACTGCAATTGTTAAATGAATCATGCAGCCACGAAGCAAATCAAGCTACCCCACATTCACTCTGCTTGTCAGAAGCCAGCTGGGAAGGTTACAGATGGAAATCAAATGACCCCCCCAGGACAGCGCAACTGTCATAAATATATGCCAGTCGCCAAGCATCTGAATTTTGATCACATGGGGACCGTGGGGATGTTGCAATGGCCCTGAGAGTGAAAATCATTCGTAAGTCACTTTTTTTTTAGTGCCATTGTAACTTTGAACGTCGCTAAACAAATGATTAGAAGTCAAGGACCTCCTGTATGGGAGCTGCTTTGCAAAGACAATTTAAGTGAAACTTTTACCTGTCCTTGCGAGTCGAAGAACTTGCTGATGATGTTCTTTAATTTGTTGAAAAGCGTGGGATAAAGGGTGGGGCTCAGCTCCAGGCCTATGAGGTCCTTAATGTTAGTCCGTATCTGCAGACCCACTTTCTCGTGGGTGCAGACCATCAGGGACAACAAGCGATCCATGAACTTGCTCACAGGAGTCTCGGTGTTGCCGTCAGTCGACAACATGGAGATCATGGAGCCTTTCCTCTCACTCACGGGGCCCATGGGGGGACTATAGGATGGGAAGGGTGTGTTGCCGCGATACTGCAAGCAAACTCCACCCAGGGCGCACAGAAAGCCGGTCATGTTGATCCACTCCTGCAAAGAGTCTGTGTCCGACAGATCAATGGAACCTCCACCGCTGACATGGGACATCCGCCTCTTGACTATGGTCTTGTGCAGACTTTCAGCAACCTGCAGAGAGTGACATACAGGAAGGTGGGTTGAGGACAGCGGCCAGAATTTTGTAAGAGCAGAAATGGAAAGATACGGAATTAAGGAGAAATTTAATTAAACAACCTGGAATTAAGGAGGACAATTAACCAATGGTACACCTGGCCTCCAGAAATCGTGGGCCATCACTGGAGCTTTTTAAGAAGAGACTAAGTCACTTATCTGAAATGGTATCGGTTCTCCTGCTTGAGCAGGGGGCTGGACTAGAAGACCTCCAAGGTCCCTTCCAGCTTCTATTCTATTCTATGTGAGTTCTCACAATGGAACAATGGATGAGAAAAGTGATGGAGTTGGTAGAGTTGACAAAGCTATGTTTTAATTAAAAAGAACTTAGCCAGTTTTATTTTCATTTTGGAAGTTGCTTCTGGTTTCATGCCCGAAACAGGGGGGGAAAAACTGAAACGACTTTCCTGGCAAGACTAAAACTCTAGTCCAGATCGGATTCTGAAACATTATCCTGGGATGTGTATATATGCCTATTAAGGACTCCCTAGAGAACAAGCAGCTGGCTCAAGGAAATGCTTATTCATTGCTCATCATTCGTTTGCTTCGTTTTTTTAAATCCAGGCATAAGTCACCTCAAGATCCACCACCCTGGGACACATCTATTTGCCTTCATTTGAAAAAAAGAGTATTAGAAGAAGTTGCACTCAAAGAGAAATGGCCCTTCCTTTCATTTTTTCAAACGCAAAATGAAATGGGGTTTTCTGGAGTAGCAACACAGAAGACAAAAGATAGTGGAAGTTGTAGCAGGAGTGAAGTGCTACCAGTTTGGGCCAGTTTGCCCAAACCGGTAGTAAAAATGCTACTGGTTCGCCCAAGCCGGTAGTTAAAAAAATGCTTTAAAAAGTTTTTTAAAAGTTCCGACGATCCGCTTAAAATGCTTTAAAAAGTTTTTTTTTTAAAAGTTGACCATGCCCACCTCAGTCACATGACTCCCTACACCAAGCCACGCCTACAGAACTGGTAGGGGAAATTTTTGAATTTCATCACTGAGTTGTAGCCCAACATTTCTAAAGGGAGCGTTCCTCTTAATGACCTTGGTCTTACCTGGCCGTCTTCCATCTTAGTCTTTGGATAGTTGAGGATCAATTTTGTAGCCGCCTCCCATTTAAAATGTGTGTCTTCCCAGGCCTACAACAAACCAGGAAAGATACCGGTTGATCACGCGGCATAAACAAAGCCTGAGGCAACAATGGCTGACTGCCAAAACGAACTCTTTTTTTTCTAAGGAAAAGAAAAAGCCTACCTCGGTGTTACCTGCTGTTGGATGCTCGATACGCCTGAGCAGGGCCATCACTCTCTTCTGAAGAGCTGTTCTTCCTACAAAGTGATCCAGTCAGAAACTGAGCACATTTTCTCAAGATCTTTTCATTAACAGCAGAAGTGTCTTCTATGAAATAGGTACAGACTTCAACAGATGATTAGGACCGCAGGGGGAAAAAAACTGCAACAAGCCTGCCTTCCATGGAGGACTGTACAAACCAGAAGAGGGTTGAGAAAATATCTACATACCCCTCATATCCTGGACATAAGCTGTTTCAACTTCTCCCCTCAGGATGCCCCTATGGGGCATTGCATGTCAAAACAACTAGACACAAAAGACAGTTTTCCTCTCTCATACCATCATTCTGCAGAACATTAATTCCCACAGCACTGATATGCCTAAGGATATCTACCCATGTAGTAAGGCTGTGTTGCTATTATCCTTCTCATCTTTCTTATTACCTACACCTATTGGTATCCTATAACTATCACTTTGTTGGTTGTATATGATTGAATCTCTGATTTATGATTTATCCCTTTGTTGTCTGTATGCATACTGATAGCTTCTGCACTGGAAACAAATTCCTTCTATGTCCAATCACATTTGTTTAATAAAGAATATTCTATTCCGATTCCGATTCTATTACTAGCCCATTTTTGCTATTCTATTCTTTATTCTTTTATTCTATTCTATTCTATTCCCTATTCTATTCTTTCTATTCTATTTCTACTCTATTTCTATTTTTATTCTATTCTATTCTATGCTATGTTATGCTATTATTTCTATTCTATTCCTACTATTTCTATTATTTCTATTTTTTATTCTATTCTATTCTATTCTATGCTATGCTATGCTATTATTTCTATTCTATTTCTACTATTTCTATTATTTCTATTTTTTTATTCTATCTATTCTATTGTTGTTCTACTCTGCTCTGCTATATTCTATTCTATCCGATCCTTTGCTTTTTAAAAAAAGGCAAAACAGATTGAACATTTATGTATACTGTATTGTACATTTTAATAGAGTGGTTAAAAAACTAAACTAATTATAAAAAATTTCAGTTTCAAGGGTATAATTCATACAGACTTTTAAAGATGTGCAACTATATTTCTCAGAAACCTCATTTATGAATGCTCCATCAACTAATCAACTATTTGCTAATAACCTTGAGTTACCGCAAGGGAGTCTCTGCCTCTCATGGTCATCATTCATGGCAGCGGTAATTTCGGTCATCCACAAACCCAACCTGATTTTACGACCTTTTCTGAGGTGGTTATTAAGCAAATCACCAGTCATTAAATAAATCATCCCAGTTATTTATCACATTTATGGTCTTTAAGCAAATATTGTGGTTGTAAAGCGAACCAACCGTTCACTATGGGCAGAGTTTTGCCAAACACTGGAAGTAAATGCTGTTTTTTAGCAAAACTTTTGTGAAACTCAGTGACGTGAGCATACAGCAAACAGCCGTAAATGCACCCAGTTGTTGAATGCCCAAAGTGCAGTCATGTAACTGCGGGGAGGCGGGGGGGGGGGGGGGGGGGGGGGGGGGGGGGGGGGGGGGGGGGGGGGGGGGGGGGGGGG